ATTTTTTTGATTTGGGGGTTTTTTGTTGTTTTTTTTTTTGTTTCATTTTTGGGTTTTTTCTTCCCCCCCCCCCCCAGGAACGTTGGTGGCACAACTCATTTATCCCGGAGCCACATTGCTCCCACTGTGCTGCTGGGGCATCGACTGAACGGCTAAATTAGCTCAGGGATTCACAAGCAAAAACCAACTGTAAAACAAGTCCTTTTGCTTGATCCCATGGGACTCTTAGAGGGAACGAGATTCATGTAACAAACCAAAACAAACATGAAGTCCCTCCTTCCCCCGTTTAATAAACTGATTCATACAACAGCCTGCGGGGCCAGGAGATAGAGGCAGAGGCTCCTCGCTGCAAGGCTCGTGCCTCCATTAGCCAGCTCCCCACCAGCCTGTGCGCACAGCTCCCGTAGCACCATGCAGCTCTCCTGAAAGCCAAATGCAGGCCGGGGGGATGAGCTGTTGCAGCAGACCGGGATCCCTGAAGGATCTCATCTGTCCCCTGCCACCCACCGCTGTTGCAATGAAATGGAGCAGAGGAGCAGCTCTGTTTTGGGGGAAGAGGGTGCAATGCAAGACTGACACGTGCACGCTGCCTCCACAGAGCAGCTGAGCAGGCAGGGCAGAGGCTGGTGGAGCGCCCCAGCATGCCTGTTGGTGAGGAGGGGCCGTGTGTCCCACGGCAGTAGGACACAGCCATGCACATAACCATAACTGCATGGTAGGCTTCCATTCCCTGCTACAGGATGAAAACCCTCCCATCTCAGAAAGAAAGGGATGAAGAAGTTTGCTTTCCAAGAGCAACCTGCTGCCAGCAGCGCCCCAGGGATGATCTTGCTGACAGCAAGCCAACCCGCTTACCACTTCGGAGGAGCAAAAAGCATCTCTGCTACAGCGACAGAGCAAATGGAAAGGAAAGTTGGAATTCAACCTCAGTAAGCTTCCGACAGTCAGTGTGCAGATAAACACACACACGGGGACAGTTTAACTCCAAGCTTGCTACTCCAATGATGCATGAGTCGCTGTTTACATTTGCAATAGAGAAACCGGAGAGAATAGGATTGCCTGGCCCAGTCCTATCACCAGCAACGACAATGCTCTGTGGACAAAACCAACAGCTTCTTCTTCCTGGGAGTGCACATTCCAAAACTTACTCTTTTCCTTCCTGGGAAATCAGTGCAACCAGACCTACGGCACGGCTATTAACTACGCCAGGCAGGGTAAAGGCAGAGGATCAGAGAATCCTTTACAAAGACAGCATTGCCATTAGAAACCACATCAGGGAAGCCACATCCATGGGGAGAAAGATCCCCCTACTCTATTTTCCTGGGGATGACACCAGATGAAAAGCAAGGGGGAAATGTGCTTCTTGATGAAGAAGTTTGCTTTCAGAAGAAAAGGTCCCTGCCCGTTCCTACAAGGAGCAGAGGATTTGCCTCCTCCAAGCCAGGTGGTGTCCATGGGGATTAAACACAACTGACCTCTAGCTCTTGGCACAGCCTGGCCACCACCAGCACCTGAGCAGCAGGGCAGCACAATCTCCCACTCCAGAGCACAAGGCTGGAGGTCAGGTTGCCCACAGCATTGGTTTTGGCCTTCACACAGGTGGTGACCATCTTTAATTGCATGCTTCCATACCTGTTCTCCTTCCTTTTGCCTCCCTGGACCCCTTTGCAGGCACCCTTTTTGGATGCTGCTCAGCACTTTGGGCCAAAGCTTTCCAGAAAAGCACCACCACAAATGCAGCATGGAAAGTTTTACCAAGCCCAGTGCAGCTGGGATGAATTTAGACTCTATCTAAAAGAGCACAGCAGCAATCGGGAACATCCACGGTTACCTGGAAACCTCCTGCACAGATGCACAGACAAGTGCTGACCAGACACTCGCCTTGCATACTGCAAGGAACCTGGGGAGGGATGGGGATAAGGCAGGATCTCTCCCACAACAGGGCAGAAATGCTACGGAAGCTCTTGAGGATGGAGGAGGCAACCCCATGGTCAATGTTGGTTTTTAAGGGGAACAGACTGCTGGCACCCAAAAGCAATAAGGCAAGCATAGAGGAGAAGCTGTAGCCCAGATCCCCTGTCTGGTTATACGGCCCCCATGACCTCCCTCACATCATTTCAGTGCCTGGGGTTAGGGCAGCTGTGGTTTCCTTTGCCCACAGCCATCACATTTGCTGCTGGCTGCCATCCATTGCAGCAGAGGGCACAGCCTACCTCACCTCCTGAAAAGTAGCGATGAACCCCACCTTCCAAAGGAAACCAGACCTCAAACCATGTCTTGGACAAATCTGGCTTTGCATAGGAAGGGTTTTCAGGCACTGCCAAAGTTGCCTGCTCTGGGAGAAAAAAAAAATCCCAATTCTTAAAAGGGAGGGTTCCCCCATGAGCTTTTGGCATTGCTATGCAACATCCCAGGTGAAAGCAGACTGCTCTGGGAGGAGCACAAGCTCTAGGGCCTCTGCTCAGCCCCATGGCTCTACCACCTTCTCACCCCCACCTGAGCCAGCCCTCAACAATGACCTGCCCTCTGCATCTCTACTCACACAGACAAGCACGCTGGGGCTCCCCGAGCACCGAAGCGCAGGTGGCAAAGGAACTAGAGACTAATTTGAAGGAGTAGGATCTCAGCAGAGAGGCTGAAGGGGGCAAAGACAGCAGATCCCTTTCCTCCCAGCCCCTCCTCACCCTTCAGGTTGTGCAACCTGCCCTGGAGCATCACGGATGGGAGCCCTGCTCCCCAAAGGCTTTTTGGAGGTGAAAGGCACATGGTGCCTGCTTGGCTGTAAACATCTCAGTGCCTTGCAAAGGGCAGCTGCAGAGGCTGCTTTTGTGACCAAACAGGGAGGGGGAATACAGCCCAGGGGTGCAGGCTATAGGCAGGCTCTCCTAAAATGCCTCCTCTGTCCTTGCTTCACAGATCTCAGGAGACACATCCCCCACCCAGAAACGCCTTTGTCGCATACCCACAGTGACTGGGGAGGGACAGAAGGATGGGGAGGGATGGAGGCTGCAGCCTCAAAAGCGAGGGGCTGCTGCCAGGCAGGGTAGGGGGATGCGGGGAAGAGAGCAGCGTTAGCCAAGATAATCTGGCAGTCTTGGGGGATGTACTAGAAGCCTACAGATAATCAGGGGAGCTAGTGCAACAGACTTTGAAGTCTGCTGTCAGGTTTTCTCAGCCCAGCTCAGACATCAAAGGCAGCTAGTTACTTCCTCCAATTACAGAGCAGGAGCTGGCCGGCTGCCTGGCTTCCCCAAGGCCGGCCGGCTCAGCCACGATCCCCTGGGCATATTCTCGTGGGCAGAAGCCTCCTGATGGAGCACAAATGCCCGAATCCTCCAGCTCCTGCCAGAGTCAGGCTTGCTTTACTGCAAGCTCGCCTTGCAGCTTCATGTGGGCTTTCGCCTTGGGCTGTTGGAGCTGAGTGAGATCTCGGTGGATAAAGATCTCCCCACTGATGTGCTGCCGAACCAAACCGCCCACCAGTTCCAGGGAAACCAGGCAGCCACAAACACAGGGGGAAGCCTAGCAAAGGTGAAGAAAACAGTGACCTTTTCTCACGGTGGTGGGAAGGACTGCTTCTGTCGCTGAAATCCTGCATGTCCTGGACCCTTGTGCGACATGGCTCCAACACACAGCAAGGACAGGGTCTTCATAAGCAAAACCCACAGAAGCACAGAAAGGCTCCTGTGATTGTTTTGCACTGAAAAACACAGTATCACTAGTACAGGAACTGAAACAAATCATTTAAAAAAAAAAAAAAGGCAATTGACATCCAAGAGCAGAACAGGCTTGAAAGCAGAGAAACACCTGTCCTGTGCAACTGCAGCTTCCTAGGACGCTAGCCACCCTCAGCAGTGATCAGCCACGGCTGGCCTAGGAGGAGAA